CTGGGCGGGGGCTCCGGGGCCCTGGGAGTGAGTGTGTGAGCGGGTGTCCCGGGTGAGGCCGGTCGGGGCCGTTAAGGCCTATTGGTATACGTAGGGCCCTGACATTAAATATCAAGTATAATTCTGGTATGGAAGTATGTAGTTCCTCTCTAAGTCATCTGAAGAAGGGTACTGAAGTCTTTCTAAGCTTAGATTGGATTCACATGTATCAGTTTTAGTAGAACTAGAAACAGAGTAAGTGTTTCAATTTTCTCCAGAATAGTCTTTCCAGGATAAAAGGTGTTCCAAAAATATATATATTTTAGATCAGTTCTGATGAATAAACCTGGATTATGCCAGTGTCGATATTTTTAAGAAATAGAAATTGAGTTTAAATGCACTTGAACGCTCCTGGGGATTAAAAGGCAGCTGTGTAAAATAAATATGTTGGTTGTGAATTGATGGCTTTCCAATTAAGTGTTTGAAGTGATGAGATCTTTCTTCAGAAGAAAATTAGTAAGATACATTATGTTTATGGAATGCATAGGCTGGCTCTAGGATTGTGGGCACTACAAGCTAAACAAGGTTGAAGAGAATTAGTAGATTTAGTCTTTGAATTGTTTATTTTTTCCCTGAAAACAGTTAAGATATACAAAAGCCCAGCGCTGCATACAGTCCTATGTAGGTCCCATTCAACTCCTGTTGAAGCCGGAAGGAGTGTCTTAATAAGTCTTGGCATGAGGAAAGACAACACCATCTGAATCATTTTTTGTTAGTCACATCAGAAAAGGCCTCATGATCCCAGCAAGAATTATGATATTAAGCCTTTTGGGCGAGCTGCCAGAAAGTGTAAACTGTAGAAACCTCTCTCTGCTCCCCAGTTAATGTGCTCATGCTGGGGGCCCTGCAGCCCCTCCCAGTCTCCTACTGAGCCCCCTCCAGCCCTTGCAGCCTAGTGCTGTTGCTGTGGCCCTGCCAGCAGTGGTGGTCAGCACGCATAGGGGCACAGTGGGTCGCTGGGTGGCAGTGGGAGGGAGGCTGCTGTCCCCCAGCTGGTATCACACTGGCAGCATCAGCTGTGGTATTGTCTGGCATTGCGTTCCCCTAGGTTTGTCTTGATACACGCCAACCGGTTCTTCGGGGCAGCTGGTTTGTGCTGGCGTTGTGTGATGTAGGCACGCTTCAGTGTACCCCCAAAAACCACCTAGAGGCTTGTTGCCATGTAGACAAACAGAAAACCGTGACTTCAGTGTTTCTGTTTAAGGCTCCTAGCTCTCGTGGTGACAGAGAGACCCTTCCTAAGGTGAAATACTGATGCCTCAGCATCGGACCAAGCGAAGCGGCGCTCGGGGGCGCAGGCCGCCGTCGGCGCGGGCGGGCAAGCCCTGCGCGGAACGAGGGCGGAGGCCAGCGCGGCCCGGGCGGGCAGCGCTGCCGGGGACGCCCGGAAGCGCCCTGG